CCCACCCATAACATGTTTGATAGTGAAATGGAAGGGCTAATTGATAGTCCAAGGACGTAATCTCCCTCACTAGGAGAATTAGCTCGGTTGAGTTTTGGAAAAATAGTGAGGAGATTGAGTCTATTTTATATATTAAAAAAAAATTACCTAGTGCACCTGTTTATTTTAATATTTGATTTAATTTTTTTTAATATAAATAATCTTTATATTTATTTCATATAAAAATAATTTAACAATCTCATTACTAACCATCTCTTATATTATCATCAAAACAAACACACTTTTACTTAATCCTCTCACTAACAATTCTCACATTAATAATCTTTTCACTAACTATCCTTTCACTTACAATCTCATCTAACATAATCCGCCAAACAAACATGGCTTAAGAGTGTAAATCTACACTTTGGTCATGTTCATTTTGCGGCTTGAGTAGCCAGATTGGACTACCATGGCAGTGGGTCCAACCCACAACATGTTTGGTAGTGAAATTGTAGGGTGGATTGATTGTTCAAAGGACTCAGTAATCCCTCCCAACATGGGGATTAGCTTGGCTGGATAGAGGGTGAGATTAGGAAAATAGTGAGCAGACTGAGTCTATTCGATCGTCCACCTAGACGTCTGGAGCAGTGCATTTTTTTTCCAGCCAAGTGCACCGGTATGTTTTAATATTTGTTTTAGTTTTTTTTTTTTAATATAGAAATAATTTTTTATTTATTTTATATAAAAATAATTTAACAATTACATCACTAACCATCTCACACTATCATAAAATAAATATACTTTTACTTAATTTTTCACTAACAATCTACATATTAACAATCTTTTCACTAATCATCCATTCACTAATAATCACATTTAACATAATTCGCCAAATAAAGGTGGCCTTTAACAGTACGAAGGAGATCGTCGCTGGACTATAGCTGGACTATCGCTGACGCACAACCGAAAATCTCTTTAGAGTGGCTCTCGCCTTTCATTCTCTCTAGCTCCATCAAAAGATATTAGATGACATACTGTAAGAAGAAACATTTTTCGTGATGAAAAAATTTTATTGTCGAAAAAAAAAATATTGACAACAAGCATCTCATCATCATGAAAAATAAGCTTTGGGTGATATATATATTTTGCATTCTAAAAATTACATTTTCTTGTAATCCAATATATTAAATTGACATAATAAATTTAAACGTTTGGTACTCAAAAATAGCATTTAATTATAGGACTAGAATGAAACAAATTAAAGATTAACTTTAATTGAATTTCTACATTTGCCCCTAACTTTTTCTTTTCCTTTCTTTTCTTTTTATTTTTTATCGGCAGAGTAAAAATTATATTAAATACCCGAAATTACAGGTATAAGGAAATGGAATGCACCAAGAGAGATTTAAAAAGTACAAATACTCCTATTACTACTGCTCACATCTACATAACTAACTCTTTAACCTCACAAGATCTTTTAAATATAAATAAAAAAATAAACAACCATAATACAAAAAAGTTAAACTGATATTAACCAAATACATTTGCCCCAAACTTTGACGGTATTTACAAATAGAGTTTGATTGGTAGACCAAATCAAAATACTTTTATACATTGGCGACCAATTAAATTAACATAATTTAAATATTATGGGTCAAAATAGTACAAATCCCATACTTTGTCCCATACTATAAAATAAACATGTAAATTATTCTCTATATACATGTCAATGAGCTGACGAGTGTCTAAAAATTATTAAGTTTAACCTCCAATTTGAATGGCATGACCAGATTGAAACTGAACTAAAAGTGTTGGGATTAAATTATTCAATTTGAAACAATAAAGAATAAAGTGAAACTAGAGTCAAATTATAAAAATTAAAAGTGTAATTTATCTGAATTATTTTGGGTAAATTACGCTGACCTCCCTTGAAATTCGGAAAAAATACAATAAGCCATTCAAGTTTGGCGTAATTACATTAATATCTCTTACGGTTTAATTCACATAACACCTAGTTTTCATTTTATCAAAAATTCGTTAGTCATATAAATGAAAGAGTGATAGTGTCATGTATGTTTATATATATGTATTCTATTATATTTTTTATGTTTTCATATTATCTATATTAATTTTAATTCTTTTAAACTTATTAAAAGATATATTAGTATAATTATATTAAAATTATAAAACTTATTGTGTGTATATATATATTTATAAATTTCAAATAGTTCAATGTAATTTACTCAATTATTTTGGGGAATTGACCAGTAAATCCTGTTTTGTAGATTTGTAATCGATGGGGTCTTAAATGTTTTTTTTTTTTTTTTTGATGATTGAGTAGTCTATTAAATTATTTATTAACTGTTTTGCCATAGTTAGTACAGTTGGAGGACAAGTGGCGTGGTTATGTATGGAGAATGTGCTGAAGTGTTTGTGTGTCACGTTGTTTGAAAAACACACTAGCAGCTTTTTAAAGTTTGGTTATTTTTAACACGCACAGTGTGGGACGTAAATTTTTTACTAATTGTTTTTTGGCACATGACGTGAAGACACACAGTAATTCAATTAAATTGGGTCCGCCACGTTGGAGTGTCACATGTCACGTTTATGAAAAGTATAATAAGGAGTTTTTATGCATAGGGAATGTGGTGGGGTGTTTGTGTGTCACGTTGTTCGAATAGCGCACTAATAGCTTTTTAAAGTTTGGTTGTTTTTAACATACGCAGTGTGAAACGAGAATTCCTTACTAATTATTTTTTGGCACGTGACATGAAAATATGCAGTTATTCAATCAAATTGGATCCGTCACGTTGGAATGTTACATACGTTTAGGAAAAGTATATTAAAGAATTTTTAATTTTTTTAGAGTGTCACAACATACCCATCACGTTGTCACATTTGAAAAAAAATATATTAAGGAATTTTTATTTTTTCTTGGAATGTCACATCATACCTATCGCATTGTCACATTTGGAAAAAGTACACTAAGGATGAGTAAAAATTTTAGAATGTCACATCATTACTGCCACGTTGTCCCAGCGTTGGAGTGTCACATTAATACCTACCACATTAGAGTATTACATCATATACCTGTCACACATTATCCAAAAAAAAAAAAAATCCTAATTAACTAGTGAAGGTATATCTGTCTAACCAACATTTAATAAGGACGTTTTAATCAACTATTTAAAATATAGAACCAAATGATAGAAATTCCCAAAATAAGACTTTTCAATAAATTTTCCATTATTTTTAGTAATTGATTAAATATTCTTTTGACTTATTGTTATAGGAACGGTAGCACCCCAACTTTAAGCTATGCTTATCAATAAAATTTTCCTTTTTTTTGGGGGAAAGAAAAATTCCTTTAAGCTGTGAGTAGGTAGTGTTGCAAATGAACAGAGTCGTTTGTGAATAAGATCAAACTCAGTTCGGTAAGAGTTCGTTTGAACTCGGTTCGTTATTTTTTTTTGCGTTCGTGCTAGAGCTTGAGCTCGTTAAATTCTTAATAAATAAACCTAAACATACTAAAGCCTGGCTCGTAAGCTCGGCTCGTTAGCTGGCTCGTTTAATATTTATTACTTATATATTAAATAATATAAAAATATATAAAAAAAGATAAGAGAAATATGCTATTTATATATTTAAAAAATATAAATATAAATAATAGTTAACTATAGATAGTATATTTATATAATAGTGGCAGTAGATATTATTATTTTAATAAAATATGAACTTTTTTTTAGTATGGTAATATATATTGTGTATATAATTGTATAATCAAAATTTTAATTGTAACTTTAGTTTTATATGCAAATATGAATTTATAAATTTTTTGGCTAGTTAAAGCTCGTGAACAGGCTCGAGTTCGAGTCGAGCCTAAGCTAACTCGGCTCGAGCTCGGTTCGTTAAATTTTTATTTAGCTATTCAACTCGAGCTCGGAGCCCGAGCTCGTTAAAATCTCAATAAACAAGCCTAAACATACCAAAGCTCGGCTTGGCTCGGCTCGTTTGCAGCCCTATGAGTAGGGTATAGAGGTTTTTTTTGAGTATGAGTTATTTTCTTTAAATATTTTGCTTATTATGAAAAAATATACAAAAAGTAGAGATGTGCTGTAATTTAAATAAGGTAAATTATACTTTGCCCCATTTATGTTTTGTCACTTTCTCATTTTTATATTTAAAGTTTATTTTTTTCTTACTTTGACTTTTTATATTTAAAGTTTTTCTCAATTTTCTCCTAAAGCTAGCTTCCATTTAAAATTATACAGAAAATGTCATAATAATTGTCATATAATATAAAAGTTATACTATTATAGTGGGGTTTAAATTTATATGAAAGATGTGAGTTACATGATGAAATATTTTAACATCATGTGAATGTCAATGAGTCATTTTTTATTTAATTTTTAATTTTAAGAGTAAATTTCGAAAAACATAAAATATGAAGTATCAAAGTGAGAAAAAACAAATTTTAAAGGCGAAGTAAAAATTTAACCAAATGTAAAAGGGACAAAATATAATTTACCCATCCAAATAAACTAATAAATTGACTTTTTTTAATTCAACCCCAACCAAGTCATATATTTCGGGAGGTCATTATCAAAACAACAAAAAAAAAGAGGCTAAGCTTTTAGTCACAGTAATCCTAAGCTGTGTTTGGACCAGAGAATTGGGAAAGAATTTAAAAAACAAAAAAGATAAAAATAAAATATACTTATATTTTATATAATCTCACATATTTTTATTTTTTTCTTTTTAAATTTCTTTCTAAATTCTCCCACCAAACATAATCTAAGTATATTCTTCTTAAATTCTCCAACCAAACATAATCTAAGTATATTCTTCTTAAGAAAAATAAAAACAGAAGAAAAAAAAAATCCAATACTATTGGGTATTTTCTCATTACGTGGCACGATGGGATTCCTCCATCTATCCTATCATGCTTGCTTTTTATCTATATATGGCCGTTGTTCACTATTCTACCATGCTTGCTTTTTATCTATATATAGCCATTTCCTTTTTGGTATTTGGAGACTTGGAAGGAAAAGAAAAACAAAAAAATAAAAAAACAAAGAAGGAAATAAAATACCCTCTTGAATTCTCATTTGTTTTAGTTGAACCAAACAGAGCATAGAAATAAAACTCAAATCTTTCTTTCTCATACATACAGAGAGAGATGGAAGAGGAAGGAGTGAAGTCAAGGTTCAAAAGCGTTTGTGTGTTTTGTGGAAGTAGTATTGGGAAGAGAAACAGCTACAGAGACGCTGCTCTTGAATTGGGCCAAGAACTGGTACAATAAACCATTCAATTCCCCTTATATACCTACAAGTTTCATTAATTGTACATGGGTTTCAAATTTCAATCCTATTGCATCTTTCAAATCCTAGTTCTTCATTGTTCTTCGGTTTTTTTTTTTTTTTTTTTTTTTTTTTTTTTTTTTTTGGCTGTTTGAAGGTCTCCAGAAAGTTGGATCTGGTTTATGGAGGTGGAAGTGCTGGGTTAATGGGTTTGATCTCTCAGGAAGTTCATCGCCATGGAAGACATGTTCTTGGGTACTACACACACTTCACACTGAATATCTCATCTGGGTCTTAATCTTACATTTCTGTATCTTTTTTTTTTCTTTTTCGTTTTTTGATTTTTGTGTTTGTTGTTTGTCCTCACAGAATCATCCCCAAAACTCTCATGTCCAAAGAGGTTCACACTTGACACTTTGATCTGGGTTTTCTTTCTTGAATCCAAAGAACTGCATGTTCGAGTCAGATTTAACAGAGTTTTGCTTTGATTTGCTTTTCATGGCTTAGATTACTGGTGAAACAGTGGGAGAGGTAAGAGCTGTAGCCAACATGCATCAAAGGAAAGCTGAGATGGCCCGCCATTCTGACTGTTTCATTGCCCTACCAGGTCACCTCTCTCTCACTATATATATATACTAATTTCCCTTAATGAAGTGATTGTTTTATCAGTAATATTGTATACTTAGAAAAATTACCCAAAAAAGAAATCACTGGTCTACGTTAATTCATATTAATTTTAAAATTATACTATACTCACTTTCGGGATAAGATTCAGAATACATTTTTTTTATTGTTGATAGTATTTTTGAGCCAGTATTGATCCAAACAGGCGGGTATGGAACACTGGAAGAGTTGTTAGAAGTCATTACATGGGCCCAGCTGGGTATTCACGACAAGCCAGTAAGTGTTTAAAGCCACTTTTTTCATAATCCTTTTTGTGTGTTTAGCTAATTTTAGAAGCAATTTTCTGTACCTATTTTTCAAAAACAGTGATTTGGGTATCTCTATGATTGAAATAATGCGTAGGTGGGTTTGCTAAATGTGGATGGTTACTACAACTACCTTCTCACCTTCATCGACCAAGCAGTGGATGATGGATTCATAAAACCCTCTCAGCGTCACATTATCGTCTCTGCACCAAACGCTAGAGAACTTGTTCAAAAACTTGAGGTTTAATTTGCTCTCTTCTTTTCTGTACCATAACTTCAATCTTTATTTATTTATTTGTTTATTTATTGGGTTTCTAATGTTTTTGTCTTTTGTTTGGGAAGGACTACGTGCCTGTGCACGATGGAGTGGTGGCGAAGGTACGGTGGGAGGTTGAGCAAGTGGAACTTAACGCATCCTTACAGTCAGAAATAGCTCGTTAGAGAGAGAAAGAAAGTCAGAGAGAGAGAGAGAGAGAGAGGGAGAGAGAGAGAGTATTTTGTTGCAAATTGTAATTAGAGTTTCTACTTTGTCCCTGTTTATTCTTTTGTCGTAAAGCACAGGGAAGGCCATTAAAAAAAAAAAAAAAAAGGGAAGGAAGTGGTAGCTAATTTGTGTGGAAAGAAAATGAAATCTGTAATTTTCTTTCTTGTATATATTATTTAGAATTGGAGAAAAAAAATAAAAATGAAAAATACAGCAGCATTTCACCATCTTCTTTCTTTCTGATGCATGCGTGATATTTTTTTTATTTATTTTTGTAAGTGATAGAAAATTGCTTACAAACACTAATTTTAGTATTAAAAAGAATAAATAACGAGCAGTGTTTGTCTTCGGTTTATATTTGTGAATTGACTGTCTAGTTAGGTCTTGTCATAATTCAATATAGGATAAATTATACAAATAGTCACTATAGTTTACACGATGTGTCAATTTGATTTTTGTAGTTTCAATTTGTTCAATTTTGCCTCTTAATTTAACGGATTGTGTCATTTTAGTCCAATAAATAATGGTTGTTAAGTTAATTTAACGGAAGATCAAATAATCTGTCAATTTGGTCCCTATAGTTTCAATTTTCTCGATTTTGACAGAGACTAAATTGACACATCGTGAAAAATGCAGGAACCAAATTAACACATTATTTGACATTCCGTTAAATTAACTTAACAACCGTTTTGTTGGATTAAAATGACACAATCCGTTAAATTAAGGGATAAAATCGAGCAAATTAAAATTACGAGGACCAAATTGACACATCGTGTAAACTATAGAGACTATTTACATAATTTTCCCTTCAATATATTGTTTGTATGGAAAGAAGATAGATTTCTAATTTTCTTTCTCATATATATTATATAGAAGAGCAAAAGGGCAAAAAATAATAATAAAGCAAAAATATAGCAGCTTTTTCATTCTCTTTTGTGCATGCATGATCAATTTTATTTATTTTTTCTAATCCATAATAATTTTTTTAATTAGCAAAATAAATTTTATTGATTAAGAATTAAAGTAAAAATCTTACATTGTATATCAATAAAGAATGGAAAGTAAAAATCTTACATTGTACATCCTAACGGTGGTGGAAAGGTTTGAAAAATGGAAGAGCGTTCAATAGGAGAAGCTTGGGGTGGTTATCGGTTTTTCAATGACGACAGTAGCGAAGGAGTAATGCTAGGTCAGGTATGCACACCTTGTTCGTAGATAACATTCCGAAATCAATGGATCCAAAAGGGCTCTTCAATCTCTTTAACAATTTTGGAATCGTTAAAGATGCTTTCATACCGAATCAAAGATGGAAAACAACACAGCCAAGGTTTGGGTTTGTAAGGTATGACTGCGTGGTGGCAGCTCAAATACCTATCCAAAAAGCAAATGGGATTTGGTGTGACGACCGATCACTAATTGTTAAGAAAGCAGAGTTTGACAAAACTCATGAGAAGGCTATAAAGGAGCAGATGCCACACAGACCACGGGCACTGATGATGGCAAATGGTTCAAAACATATGGAAACTAGATCATATGCAGAGGTGGTAAAAGAGGAAGGAAATAATAAAACAGATGTTGTAATTAAAGACATTCAGGAAGGAGTTTTGGGGTAGAAATCTAAAGAATATTCAGCTTCGCGAAGGAGGAGGCAGAGAGGCCATTGTAACTTTTAATTCAATTGATGACATGAAAAATAAAAGCCACATCTTGGGGGATTGGATGAATGACTGGTGTGATTCTATAACAGAATGGAGGAAAGGCTTACAAATGGAACAGGAGAGGCATATATGGCTAAGCTCTGAAATCTGTGGAACAACATCACATTTATCAGAAGTGGTGAAATCTGGGGTGCAGTGACAACCATTGATGAGAGCACATCAGCCATGACATCTTTAATATATGGAAAGATTCGTATTGCAACATCACATATGGATCTGATTAATAAAGTTATAAATTTGGAGTGAAATGGGAGTTTATTTCTGATCCGAGTATGCGAAGAATAGAAAATTGTAATTGTAGCTTGCAATGGTGTATGTTCATGTGAAGGTAGTCGATTCAGGGAGGATATCTCTATCAACAAAGAAGTGGAGAACCAGTTTCACGGTAAAGGAGAAGACCAGACTGTGGCTGCCGGCGAAAAGGTGAAGTCTAAGGTGATCCAAGGTAGATTGGAAAATCTAGAAGCTATCAAATCCCATACCTCACACTCGGTTTCCAAGGTCAATGAGACGTATCTGAACATGGGAAATTGGAACAATATAGCAAACAACAGTGCATGCGTGGTAGAGGACTCAGTATGTGGGTCAGATGTAGACAAAGATAGAGTAGGTGAATGCTTTAGTCCACCTGGATTCATACAAAGCCTAATGAACCAGCCATAGATAGGCCCAAGATCAATCTTGAAGTTGTGTTGGACAGTAATGTAAATTTTAGCAAGCCCATGTTGGTTAATGATAGGCTAGGTAAGGTGTGTGAAGTTCAAACATATAAACACAATTGGATCAATACAACTGTGTCCTCTATCTCAGCCCACCAATCGCAAAGTTTTAGGCATGGTGTGCTGGGCTCATCATCCAGCAAAATTTGTACTTCCCAGGGTCAGCTTAGAGGGGTCACTAAGTCCCTTTGTGGTTCAGAAAGCAGAGGAAGGCCAAAGAATGGAAGAAGGGGAAAGCAAGAAATCTGGACGAAAATAGGTTTTCAAAGAGGTGCAATCTTTAGGGCAGCCACAATTACACTCTCTTCTTCTACACTTTCACACTCCAGTAATTCACTTCGTAAAAGAAACCTAGTTAGTGAAGCTATGGCCACGATACAGATGGGGAAATCATTAGGGATCGATTATGAAGCGAAAGATTCAAGTCACATGTGGCTACCAAAATCATGGAAATGGAGAAGAAAGATGCGGAAAGATGGGAATTACGGAGGGCAAATGCTAAGCAATAAGTCAGCACTTAGGGATGGCAGAGGTGTTTGGATTGGTTATCATGAAGATTATATCTTGGAATGTCAGAGGGTTGAATAGACTTGAAAAAATAAGAAGTGTGAACGCTATACTTAAAGAGAAAAGGGTAGATATGGTGTTATTTCAAGAAACGAAGAAATCGAGTTTATCAGTTCAATTTGTACAGTCCTTATGGTATAGTGATTCCATAGACTATTTGGAAGTTGATTCGGATGGTAGTGTTGGGGGCTTACTTTGAATTTGGAATCCAGAGATATTTCAAGTTGTTGATTGTTGCAGCAATCGAAACTTTATCCTTCTTTCAGGTATGATTCACCGTAGTTTAGAATGTGTTATTGGAAATATTTACGCACCAAATGATATTTTCAATAGGAGAAGCTTGTGGGAAGGTTTAATTAGTCTCAAAAAAGGTTTTCCAAAACCTTGGTGTATCGGGGGTGATTTTAACGAGATTACTATGTTATCTGAAAGAACCGGTTGCTTAAAGGAGAGATAGAGGCATGAAAGATTTTTTAGATTTTATAGATAAAATGGAAATGGTAGACCTGCCAATGTTAGGGAGGAGGTACACTTGGTGTAATGCATAAGATGGGGACAAATGGAGTAGGTTAGACAGATTTCTAATAAATGTTGAATGGATGGAATGGTTTAACCTCAAGTTTAGTTGTGGGGATTGCCTGGATTTGCATCAGATCATTGTCTAATACTGTTGATGGGAGATGAGAGGAATTAAGGTCCAAAACCATTTAGATTCATCAATGCCTGGTGTACTCACCTTGTTTTTTGGTGGTTGTTAAACATGCTTGAGAAGAAGCACAGGTGTCTGCGAGTGTAGGGTATAAAGTCTTCAAGAAGCTACAATCACTTAAGATTGAACTAAAGAGGTGGAATGTGGAGGTCTTCGAGAATATAGGGTCTAAATTGAAAGCTGCCATAGAGGAACTTCATTCATGGGATTTGGCTGTAGAATCTAGAGTGTTGCTCAAATCTAAAATTAAGAGGAGAAGATAACTGAAAGGTGAGGTTTGGAAACTCACAAAAATGGAGGAAAGTTTATGGTTTCAAAAAGCAAAGATGCATTGGGCCCTAAAAGGTGATAGGAATACAAGGTTTTTTCACATTGTAGCTACTACGAGACATAATAGTAACCATGTTGGATACTATAAATGTGAATGGGATAGCAGTTGATGATCCAAAGGAGATAAGACAAATGGTGTACAACCATTTCAAGGAAGTCTATAAAGAATATTGGAGAGACAGACCCAAAATAACTGGAACCTTCAATGTCATCCCACACTGTTACAGCTCAGAGTTATTAGAAAAAGAATTTACATAAGGAGAAGTTTGGAAAGTGATAAAAGAATGTGATGGAACAAAGCCCCAGACCCGAATGGTTTCAATCTAACTTGTATTCAAAAGGGCTGGAAAGTAATGAAGTCTGAGTTGTTATGTTTCTTGAAGGAGTTCCATGAGAATGGCAAACTGGTAAGTGTCTTAAATTGTTCTTTTGTAGCATTGATCTGTAAGCAAGACAAACCAACCAGCCTTAATGAGTACAGACCAATCAATCTCATTAGTTTTATTTATAAAATTCTTTCAAAACTCCTAGCTAATAGACTGAAGAAGGTACTCCCAAAGATCATTGGTGAAACCCAAACAGCTTTTCTGGAGGGCAGAAATGTAATGGATGGCATTCTGATTGCTAATGAGGTAGTGGATTGGTGGAAGAAGAATAACAAAAAAGGTTTAGTTTTGAAATTGGATTTTGAAAAAGCATATGATACCGTGAATTGGAATTTTTTATTTGATATGCTGCATAATTTTGGATTTTGGGCAAAATGGGTGGATTGGATAAAGACATGTATATCTACAGCCAGAATTTCAGTTCTAGTAAATGGGTCTCCAACTGAAGAATTTTCTCCACAAAAAGGTTTAAGGCAAGGTGATCCCCTCTCTCCTTTTTTATTTAATATTGTGGCAGAAGGTTTGAACATTCTCTTAACAAGAGCTAAAGATTTGGGCCTAATGAAAGGCACAACAATTGGTGAGAATGACTTTAATGTATCACACCTTCTGTTTGCTGATAACACTATTATCTTTTGTGAAGCTGAATGAGAGGAGATTGTAAACATAAAGCGAATCCTTAGATGTTTTGAGGTAATGTCTGGCTTGAAGATAAATTTTCATAAGAGTGTAATCAACAGTGTTGGAGTTTCAATTGAGCTAGTTAAAGAATTTTCCACAAAGCTACTTTGTGCGAGC